CCATCAAATCACTTTTCACAGAATATTAAATTCTAAATCTAGCTGTACATAAGAGTCACTCAGAAATTCTTTCTGATTCAGAATGGTAACTTAAAAGCGTCCTTTCTCAGAACCAGCCCCTAAGCGGGCACAGCTCAGTATCCTCAAGGCATGGCCAATGGGTCGCAGCCACAGGATTAGAAGTCTCCCAGGCAACTGTCTTTGTAGCGCACCAGACCAGCATCAGAAATGGGACTCACGAATACTACAAAGTCTAATTTCATAATTAGAATTGCTAGCCAATAACAATATGCACATTTGGACAAGTTACCTTTATTTTGCTGATGGAAAAACCAGAGCAGGATTTTTTATTTTTTTTTTTTTTTTAGAAAGCAGCCACAATTTCTCCATGTGAATCTGTATTGCAATCAGCTCTCTCCTTTACTCTCTGGTTTGGGAGGTTACAGGACTGGTTGTTTCCAGACTCCAATAGAAGAATCAGCAACAGAGAACAGGCAACAGAGAGAAGTGCCATCCACCTGGGGGGACTTTGCCTCCCATTAGGGCTTGTTCACTGCAGTAAGTGTAGACTTCAGGAAAATCAGACACAGATGTGCCTCTGGGGCCGGGTCCTCGCTGCTGAACACAGTGAAGCCCTCGGGGACAGCAAGCGTCTGGCACATTTCTCGTCTGCGCCTGCGAGGGTGGTGGAGTTGTCTGGCGGCAGAGGTGCGACGGTGACACAGTTTAAGATTGGTGGCATAATAAGAAGACCGTGATCCAAGGAGAAAAGTGTGAATTAGAAAAAGAAATTATTTTTCTCTTTCCTGTAGCTATAAATAACTCGCCCACAATTCCTCACTTCTGAAACTCTAAAGCAACTTGCTAGGCAGAGAGTTTGTGAGATAATCTCGCTTTTATTTGTAAGGATCTCTGCATCAGATAACAAAAAACTAGGGAGGTGGGCTTCAAACTCATTCCTCTCATGAAACTCATAGTTCTCTTGACTGTTTGACCCCGGGTGATGGACAATCCCCTCCCCACCTGCTTCCCACCCACAGCCCAAAAAGGAAGCACGATTTGGGGGAGGTCCAAGAGAGGAAGGCAATGGTGATGTTTTTGCTTTCTCCAGGGTAAACAGATACTTAGAAAAAGAAGTACGTTGCAGGGAGGGAAAGCAAAATAATTTTGCTACTGAGAAATATTGGAGCTGCAAATGAAAGCAGATAGAGGAAACAGATCGTAGTCTAGAAAAGGAAGAAATACAGAGCTTGGTGGCAAAGACTGCTAGGGAAAGTCTCAGAAACTGAGAGATGGCTGGGGACTTAGAACTCACACTGTGTGGTCCCTCATCACCAGGAGCTTATTGCAAACACAGACCTCCTGTATGAGGGGACACAATTCAGTCAACCCACCTGGCGATTTGCATTGCCATTTAGTGTGGGAAGGGCATTGAACTAGCACATAGCCGTATTTTAGGCTCCCAGTAAATTCATAAATAAATAGTATCTGAGCTGGGAGGTTTTAAATGCTTGTATTTGACAATTTCATACCTTTAGCACACACACACACACACATTGCAGTGACTACACATAACCTCATTTGAAGATAGCATTAAAAGTCTAAAATCTCTATGATAAAAGCATTCAGGGGCCGGCACCATGACTCACTTGGTTAATCCTCCACCTGCAGCGCCGGCATCCCATATGGGTGCCGGGTTCTAGTCCCGGTTGCTCCTCCTTCAGTCTAGCTTTCTGCTGCGGCCTGGGAGGGCAGTGGAGGATGGCCCAAGTGCTTGGGCCCCTGCACCCACATGGGAGACCAGACTTCTGGCTTCGGATCGGTGCAGCTCCAGCTGTAGCAGCCATGCAGGGTGTGAACCTACGGAAGGAAGACCTCTCTCTCTCTCTCTCTCACTCCCTCTCTCACTGTCTATAACTCTTCCTGTTAAATTAAAAAAAATTTCAGAATTCTTTCTTCTAGTTTTTGTTTTTCTTTCTAGAAAAATATACAGAACATTATCCTTACCTGTAGAACTACTCTGTAGTAAAACTCCACAACTTCTTACTCCTGTCACTTAGTATTTGAGGAGATATGTTTACTCTGATTAACAATTTTATTTATTTGAGTGGTAGAATTACAGAGCAAGGCAGAGAGGCAGAGACAGAGAAAGAAAGAAATCTTCCATCCTCAGGTTTACTCCCCAGATGGCCTCAACGGCCGGAGCTGAGCTGATCTGAAATTAGGAGCCAGGAGCTTCTCCCAGATCTCCCACATAGGTGCAGGGTCCAAGCACATGGGTCAGCTTCCATTGTGTTCCCAGGCCACAGCAGAGAGCTGAATCAGAAGATGAGCAGCCGGTACACGAACTGGTGCCCATTTGGGATTTTGGCACTGCAGGCAAAGGCCACAGCACCAACCCTGTTTACTCTGATTAGACATTGCACTGTGTATATTTGTATTGGAAGCTCACAGGGTATCCCATAATATGTACAATTTGCATGTGTCAGTTAAAAATGTTAATTGCAAAGAATGAACTTGAATTTCCTCATAATCACACACTAAGTCTGACGTCTCCAGACAAGCTCCTGTGTGGATGTCAGGCCCCTGATCAATCTTGGTAAAGTCTAACACCACCGTGGCCCAACAGCTGTTTGCAATTCAGGAATTCCCCTTGCCACAGGAACCTGTCTTAACTCTGAATGTGAAAAACTCTCCTGGAATATGAAGACACCCTGCTGCAGCAGGGCCATCTGTCACCCTGCTCCAGAGAGAAGTTGTTGGTGCACTAAGCTGTGTTCATGGCCAGGCTGAGACACAGGCTTAGCCTGATCAGTATCAGGGAAACCTATATGCAGTCTGTGTAAGCAAGAGGCAAATGACCCCAGGGGCAGTCCACGGCAGCACTGCACAAATACATTGGCAGATGTGTCAACCATGCATATGAGTCCAGCAGTGCAGTACTTTGGGGACTGAAGTCCAAAGGCAAAGACATGTGTGAGTTGCCGGTCAATCTGGAGCATTTCTTCTAATTTTTCAGGATGTGTTTTTGACAGGAGCTTAAGGGCAGTTCAATAAATTAAAATGTATTTACATGACAATGAAGAATTATCTTGACACACACTGAGTTATTTAATTAGCAAGGTGATTTGCGTGCTGTTAAAGTTAAGACTGTGTCAGCCTTTCTGGGACAAATCTTTATTTTCAGGGCCATGTGGCTCTGCCAGGAGTGATCCCCGGGGTTGGAGCTTGTCATTTATAGACAAGGAGTCTCCTCTCTGACCCCCGTTTCTGTAGACAGCTCTAAACAGATCGGTAATCTCAATGTCAGACATCATGATGAAGCAGCTCTGCCAAGGCCAAATGCCCCTCTTCGGGGAGGTGGCCTCCTTCTCAGCGGAATTGTAAATGAAGTCATACCTCATTTGCAGTCTTCAAAGCGTGTCAGGGCTGCTGTCTGTCTGAATGACAGTTGGAGACTCCTTGAGGCATCAAGAGGTAAGCATACGATCAAAATCTGTGTCGGTGCTGGCCGCATCAAATCACAGTGGGCGAACAGTGACCTCCTGGCCGAAGGGACGGGCACCATCTCCTGAAGGCCATGCCCCACACCAGCCCTGTGGGAAACACTGTGCCGCTGAAGTGCAGCTGCCAGAGGAAGCATTCCGGAAACAAGGGGACCAGATGCTACACCATCAGGGTTAAACCCTTAGCACCAAGTTGCGCAGAGAAGAAAGAGGAAAAGGAAACGTGTACCTCAGTCCTTCCATAACTTCCGTCTACTTCTAAGCTAATGGGTTTGTAGTTCATTTCTAATGCATTTGTTTATTTACTTATGTATTTATTTGAAAGGCAGAGAGACAGAGCCAGGGCAGAGGGAGCACTGCCATCCGCTGGTTCGCTCCCCAAATGCCTACCATCCTAGGCTGCGGCAGACCGAAGTCAGGAGTCTGGAACCCAGTTTGTGTCTCCCATGTGGGTTGCAGGAAGCAAATTATTTGAGCCACCCTTTGCTGCACCTTGGAATGCAAATTAGCAGAAAGCTGAGTCAGAAACAGAACTCAGACTTAAATGCAGACTCCAGTATGGGATCCATAATAACTTCACTGCTGCACTGAACGTACTCACACTGACACTGATTGTGGTCCATGGCAATATTGGCAACAGACGTAAGTGGTGCCTCAGATCCTCCTTTTGGCTAACTCAGGTCAAGGAGGTTGATTGTCTCAAATAAAATTGAGAAATAAAAGCCAAGCATCGGAGCCAGCGCTGTGGCATAGTGGGTAAAGCCGCTGCCTGCAGTGCCAGCATCCCATACGCGTGCCAGTTCAAGTCCCAGCTGCTCCTCTTCCGATCTGCCTCTTTGCTGTGGCCTGGGAAAGCAGTGGAAGATGGCCCAAGTCCTTGGGCCCCTGCACCCACGTGGGAGACCTGGAAGAAGTTCCAGACTCCTGGCTTTAGATCAGCGCAGTTCCAGCTGTTGTGGACATTTGGGGGAGTGAACCAGAGGATGGAAGACTCTCTCTCTCTCTCTCTCTCTCTCTCTCTCTCTTGCTCTCACTCTCTCTGCCTCTAATTTTGCCATAAAACAAAACAAACAAAACAAAACAAAACAAAGCATCACCCCACCTTCTTTTGAGGAAGTGAAGACATGGTTCACTAACAATAAGCCATGAAAGTGAGAGACTCGGGAGTTCAGGATCAGAATTGAAATGCCTGTGTGGTTGGGTGCAGAGTTTTGCCCAGGAATCGGGAAATCTGTCATTCAGGAAATCGGTCATTCAGCCCCTTATGATTGATCAGTCCCCAGAGGAGTCACTTTTCCTCTCCACTTGTCGTTTTCCTTGTAGACATGAGAATTTGAATTACTGAGGAACTCTGGTTGGATACAATTGTAGGATTCTTTTTCATTCCATTCTAAAAACCGTACCTTTTTCCTCATCCATTCCCTCCAAACCATCACAGTCCTTCCAGCTGACTGTTAAGATCGGCAGTCACTCACCCTGTGTCCACGCCTCCAGGTCCAGACATCCTGACTCTGGTGGTGGGCTCTGACATCAGCCGCTGTCCCAACACCCCCTGGCCCACCTGCCGCGGCTACCTGCACAAGAGGACCCACTCGGGCTTCGTGAAGGGCTGGAGGAAGAGGTGGTTTGTGCTGAAGCACGACGGCTGCCTCCGCTATTACAAGCGCAAGAAGGTAAGCCGAGGTTGGGGGAGGGTGGTCCCATGAGCTGTTCGGTGCCGAGTGCTGTCCTGTGGTCGGTCCGTGCTCTAGGACTCGGGCAACCGTGTTCTCTTCGACTTCTCAGCAGCGTGTCCTTCTTCAGAAGCTCAGCGAATTGTCATTCGTTTTCTCTGTTGCTGCATACATCAAGGCTGGCCTGAGTTTCTATCTCCATCATCTCTACTTTTACATCCTCTGTGAAAACACCCTCATCAAAGCCAAGGAAAAAGAGCCAGATGGCGGGGTCAATGCTGTTGCACAGCGTGTAAAACCGCCACCTGCAGTGCCAGCATCCCATTTAGCCGCTGGTTTGAGACCCGGCTGCTCCACTTCCAGCTCTCTGCTGTGGCCTGGGAAAGCAGTGGAGGATGGCCCAAGTCCTTGGGCTCCTGCACCCATGTGGGAGACCTGGAAGAAGCTGCTGGCTCCTGGCTTTGGATCAGCGCAGCTCGGGCCATTGTAGCCATCTGGGTAGTGAACCAACAGATAGAAGACCTCTCTCTCTCTCTGCCTTTCCTTCTCTCTGTGCAACTCTGCTTTCAAATAGACACATAAATCTTAAAAAAAACATACAACTAACACAAAACAAGAGAGAGAGAGAGAGCCAGACTGAATACCTGGTGCCCTTGAGAACTCAAACAGTGTCCAGGGCAAAACTCAGCTCCCTGGGCTGCAGAGCACAGTCCCTGCTTCCCAGGTGCCAGGCCTTGGTTGCCATCCGGGTTCTGAAGCAGAACACCAGAGAAGTGACCTGGAACACCTGGTTTATTTCCAGATCATATCAGAGCAGGGAGATTTTTTTGCCTTTTTTTTTTTTAAGATGCATTTATATATTGAAGGTCAGAGAGAGAGAAAGAGAGATCTTCATCTCCTGGTTCACTCCCTTGATGGCCACAATGATCAGGGTAGTTCTTCCATGTGTGTAACAGGGACCTAAACACTTGGGCCATTCTCCACTGCTTTTCCCAGGCCATTACCAAGGAGCTGGATGGAAAGTGGAGCAGCCAGGGCCTGAACTGGCAGCCATGTAGGATGCTGACGTTGCAGGTGGAGGCTTTCCCGGCTATGCCACAATGCCAGCCCCAGAGCAGGGATTTTTAACTACACGTGAGGAGTGGAAGCTTCTGCGGGATATTCTCCAACTAGCAGACTGAATCCCTCCCAGGGGTTTCTCAGCCAGCTGGGACAGGCCTAGGGTCATTCATCTGGGGACAGTTCTTAGCTTAATTTGAAGCTGTATATAAACAAATGCATGTGCTCATATATACACACACTTACATACACAAGGTAGCTTCAAAAAGGCACCAAAAGGTAATGCAAGTTTTCCATGTCTCTGAAACCCTTCCTCCTACTCCACCCCCAACACAAAGTTACTGCAAAAGAATGTGGAAAATGGAATTAAACAATACTTATTTTTGCACAAAATAATATAATCTAATCATACATGGGTCTTCAAAAAGTTCATTACAAACATGTGTTATGAAAAACTGTGCATGGATTTCAAAAAAATATTTACACCAACATAAACTTATCTTTAAATTCCATTTTCCGTGAACTTTTTGAAGTAACATATATATAATGTTAATTTGTATATACATGTGTACAAACAACATTGATTCCTTTCTGGAAGGAACACATGATAAAGACCTGGATACCTTAAAAGCCAGTGAGACATAATTTCACATATTGAACTATTGTGAAGACTCTGTATTCTTAGATTATGAATCATTCATTTGTGACCTAGACCGTGAGGTGCTTTTTCATGGCTATGTGAGCTCTACAGCTGCATTGAAAAACTCTGTCTCCCTCCAGTGCAAGAAAATAGGATTCTCCCTAATCAGGAAGAGAAGCGCTGGTCGGCCCTTGTTCTCAATGTTCTGAGAGTTAAAGTGGAACAGACCAGAAGTTTCTATGCTGTATATGCTTCCCAAGCCCCCAAGGAGTTTCTTAAGTGCACGTGCAAACCCTTGCCTCCCCCAACCTCCTGAATCTCCAGGAGTGGGGCCTTGGGAATTGCATTTACTTTTAAGTTTTCAGGGTAATTCTGATACAAATCATCTTGGGTGAGTACCGCAGCAAAGTTTATTCCCATTGGTGTCAAAAGACAGAAACAAAACCAGGTAATGTAAGTTTGCCAATTATTCTTTCTTGGGATGGAGTTGGCTTTATTCTAAGATTATGTTTTACCTACCATGTAGCACTAATTTTTACTTCTTTTTGTAAAAGAATGATAATAGCAGATGCTAACTTTTCATAACTTTCCTCATCAAAAATCAATTTTAAAAAACCTACTTGATGTCAAGCACCCGGTGTTTTAAGATTCCTAGCCCTTGAAATTCAGAATGATTAGGTCAGGGTTTGCCAGGTGGCAGTAATGAGACTGGTGCTGCCTGCAGATGTTATGTTTGGCTTGCAACATGTTTTTATAAAATTTTTTAATTAAATGCACTCAGGTGAAGCATGTGCTGTCCAAGTTGCCATAATCCCTACTACTCCTCATTTCCTTGCAGTGAGCCCAGTCATTTGAATTACGCACCAGGCCCTGTAGGGATTTGAGTGTATGAATCCTGGGGAGGAATTTATGTGAAAAATTAGAACCGTGGTGGTAATAGTAGTTGGACTTAAACTAGATTTTCTAAACTGCTTTTAGCCTTCTTTGGAAAGGAAATGTGAAACTTGTGACTTGGATGCAGCTAAGTGGTGGTGACCATCTTTGCTACAATGGATTTTAAAGTGGAGATGGTAGACTATAAGAACACAGGTTTATTTTGTTTACAAAAAGCCCAAGTCAGATCCCTTGTGGTGATTCAGATTCCAGAATACATTATGTCTGATCTTTAGAATAGATAGCAATGACTGAGAAAAGTTAATGGGGCATAAGAAGAACATAACAGAATAAATTAGCAGAAAATGAACTCAGCCATACAGCATTCATTCATGCAACAAATACTTATTGACTGCTTTTTATGAGGCAAGCATTATGCTAAGCACTGGGAAGGCAACCAAACAGACAGGGTGCCTGCCCTGTTTGTGCTTATAGTTCCATAGAAGAGAGTAGTATTAAGAAACAGATTCACAAATAATTGTGCAGTTGTGATTAGTACTATAAGTAGAATTACAGGGAGAGAGAAGAGAATTGCAGCAACCAGGATCTAATCAAGAAATAGAATCACATTGTGCTTTAAATGGGAAAAGTTCAGCATAAAGAGTTATCAAGCTATGATAAAAGAATCACTATAGGATATAAGAAAATGCCATGATGCCAAGAGAGAGCGCATACTCAAGGAAGGACAAACTTGGAAAGTGGTCCCCTCCCCATGACTGGGGATTCAGATGTCACTGGAGAGATGAAGTTGAATCTCCTGGATGGCAGAGCAGTACCCTGACTTGCCAGGCCAGACTTGCAGGCACAGGGCAACTAGGGGCACAGATGAGATGATGAACCTCAGCTAGTGGCTGATGGGAATGAGGATGCTCATGTGGCAGGTGGTCTGGAGCATGGGGTGTCCCTGTTGGAAAGGCCTTGTTGGGAGGTGGTGGCTTGGACAGGACTGCAAGAGACAAACCTACGAGAAGAGGGAATGAGTGAGCTGAGAGAATCAGGGCTCCAGGATAGGTAGGAGACCAGGAGCATAGGAAAGCCACATGGAAAAGGTCACAGGAAGGTGATCAGCAGGCCATGCCAAGGCTGCAGAGTCTCAGAAGACAGTATGTTCTGGGTGCATAGCCAGTACAAAGCACCCTCTAGTGTCTACACACACCTCACCCACCCCTTCTCACCCACCCTGCAGTGTTGGGAAAGAGCCCCCTGCAATGTTCCTCTAGCGCCCTCTATTGAGAAGTGTTGGCACCAAACTCACTGCAAAAGAATTTGGCATATGACTGCAGAGCACAGATGGAGCTGAGAGACAAGTAACATGATCAGTCTAGAATAAATCAGGAAAAGGCAGACTACACAATGAATTCCTTTGGGAGGATATAACATTTTAGCTGAGACCTAGAAGTAGCCGCACAGAAAGTTGGGATGAGCGTTCTCTAGGCAGAAGAAACAACAGTGTGAAGTCCCTAAGCTGGCATGTTTGAGGAACCAGAAAAAGTACAATGTGGCAAAAGCTGGAGCCTAAAGGAGGAGAGCAGAGAAGAAGGAGATGGCTAAGGAGGTGGGCAGTGCAAGGCCCTGAGGCAGGCAACACTAGAATGTTCTAATTACAAAAGGAAGCTCCTGAAAGGTTTTAGGCAAGGGAATATTCAAAAGCACCTACTTGTTACAAGTTGGAAGGGTATAAGGGTGGAATGGAAATACCAGTTAGAAAGCTAGTGCCAGAGTCCAAACAAGAGGTGATTGTAGTCTTGACCTATGTGAGAGTCATAAACCAAGTAGACAGGTGAGAATAATAAACCAAGTATAGTTAAGGACTGGAGTCAATAGGATAGGGTGATGGGTTGAGTGTGGTAGGGTGTCTTAGTCTGTTAACATCTGCTGTAACAAAATGCCCTCACTTGGGTGGCTTCTACACAACAGAAATGCATCCTTCATGGTTGTGGAGGCTGGAAGATCCAAGATCAAGGCACCAGCAAGACCAATGTCTAGTGCAGGGCCACTTCCTGCTTCATAGGCAGCCTTGTTTTCATTGTGCCCTCACATGGTGGAAGGGACAAGAGGGTCTCTGGAGTTTCTTCTTTCCAGAACCCTAATCCCATTCATGAGAACTTTGCCCTCATGACTTCATCACCAAAGGCCCACCAAAGACCCTCACATCCGGGATTAAGGTTTCAACATAGGAATTTCCTGGGGACACAAACATGCAGTCTACATAAGAAAAGAAAAGTAGTTAAGGCTGCTTCCAAAGTCTCCAGCAAAAGTAAGTGGTTAGATAAAGTATCATTTACCAAACCAAGATCAGGTTACAAGGGGTTATAGTGAGGTAAGAGCAGTAGTTTGGTTTGAACGACTGTGGTAGACAACGTAATTG